GAGGGAGAGAGAGAGAGAGAGAGAGATTAGGAAAGGAAGCTCAACAATTGATGTGGAATAGGAAGCCTCTTATTCTTTTGATCAAGTTCTATTTTTCCATGCAATATTAGATTTTGTTTGCTTGAGGTTGTATTGTCTATTCTTACAATGCATATTGGTTATTTGTTTGGGGTATTGGAGTGTAGGGAGTGCTTGTATTTTGGGTTTTAGGGAGAGGCAAACTATGTTGTCCCTTGTATCCTCTTTTAAAGGTGGCTTACCCCTCCTTTTGGAGTGAAGTTTGGGATCAAAAACATTGTATCTGTATTTAAGATTCACTTGATACATGATACCAATATTAACCTCACATAATAATATTAAGTATAATAAATATTTAAAATTTTATTATCTAATCTTATAGGCCCAAATGTGGACCTTGCCAAGCCTAGCCTTGTATAGACCTAGGGCTGAGATCATATTTTTGGTCTAGAGTTGGGGCCTAGACTTTAATTCTTATCATAGGTGTGAAGCCCGGTCCAACCCATTATCACCCCTACCGGTGGTCCAAACTTGTTAGATCTATAGATTTTTTTTCAAAAATTGGAAAAATAAAAAAAAAGTATATAAAAAATCAATTTTTATATGTTATAAATGATTTTCATTATAAGAAAGAACAATGGTATGAATCCATCAATATTATACACGTTGATTAAAGAAAAAATTATGTCAAAATGAAAATTTTCATAAATTTTTAGGAATAATCAAATATTAGAAAAATAATTTAATTTATTTATTCTAAATTGTTTTCATGATAAGAGAGAATTATAAAATGGATTTATCAATGATCCATCAAACTCATTGATCTAACAACAATTTCATGTATTTTGCATTAATGAATTTTTAGTAGATTGGAAGCTCAAACATTGTTTGTTATATTAATAGTAAGTTATTTCATGATATTTATATGTTTTAGATCCTTGCCTTTGGTGACCGGTCCAAGACGGTTCAAACTTCATTAACACAATGGTCTATTAAAACCACTGGCTTAGCACTATTAAAAGCGGTGTTTGACTACGACCTTAGATCTTGGCAATAATGGCCAACTTCTTTAGACAGCAGTTTGAACTGCGCAGCTTTGGTCCTATATGACTGTTGTCTTAAGTTTTGCCCAACATCACTTGTTACACAAGGCGGTAGTCTGAACTGTCGGTTTAGGATTTATAAGGGTTTCCCTAATGTATTTAAGTATATTCATATTTTTTCAGTATGTTCATGTGTATCCAAAATATATTCGTAATTGTATCCATATCTAAGCTTCTCGGTATGATACATGATACCAATATTAATCTTGTTGGATAGTTAATTTGATAGCATGTCCTACAATATAAATATTAAGCCAAATGTGGCATGTTTTGACCCCTCAAATTTAACCTACAAGCATGATTTTAAAAAATGACCTAGAAATGAAACTGTTATGGTCATCGGTTTTTGGGTCGATGGTTTGATCGTCTGATTCAAATGGACGGTGCATTTTGACAACAAAAATTAAAAAAAATAAAAAATGGCCAAAATTCGTTGAACAGATCAACGGTTCGACGACCTAGGTCAACGGGTCATTGACTGATTCAATGGTTTTTGACCAGGGACCGGGTTTGAGGTAAACGGAACCGGTTGCCTAGACCCCAGGCCGAATGGTTTGACCGTCCAGGTCAACGACAGTTTGAAAACCATATCCACAAGTTGTATGGTATTTTTTTTTGGTAAAATGCAAAAATTCATTTCAACTTATTGAAGGTATCACCCACGAGATGAGAACGAATCCAAGGGTGTTGAGAATGCAAGTACGTGGGTTTTTGGCACCGTAGGCTTCATTTTACAAGTGTTTGGTTTCACCTTTTTTTCTTATTTTGAAAAACTTGATAGAGATCCAGGCTGATTGGACATTTAAAACATTTTGGCTTATTATTATAATATACACATAATAACAATATATATCATTTCAAAAAAAAAAGTGTCAGCTTTTTCAAATTTTAATGTGCCACATCATTTTAGTGATTCAAGAAGGCGATCATTAACTATTCAAGGAACACCTTCTTTTGAAAAACGGATCGCTAAACACAGTTCATTAGTGTTTCTGTTTTTGTTTTTTTATTTTTCCGAGTAGCGCAAGCTTTTAAATGCTCGGTGCCAAACGCCTACTTTATGGGTCACCGAGTTCACTAACCCCTTTGTGTGATTAAAGTGGACCTGAGACAAGAATTCACATCAGCCCCCCATAAGTGGCACCCCACAAAGTCCCACAGCTCATCTCAGCCGTGTATTGAAAATTTCTCTTGATAATAAATACAAAAAATGATAAAACATCACCAAAAGATTTTCTAATACATGGAATGTGCTGTGGGACGTTGTTGGGCGCCCCCTTATGGGGGGCTGATGTGAACTACTGAGTCAAGGTATTGGAAGCCTGTTAAATGTTAGGCACGATATTGACGAGGACGGAGAAGCCCTTAGCCAATACAAAGCTTTCCCGTGAAGTTAATGCCCTGAACGCACTCTGTTGAGCCAGACTCAATTTCCACTATGATCCTATTATCCTGACAGGACGCAACTTCAGTCCCCTTTCTGATGGCAATGGCTATAAACTCTGCTATTTTAACTGAATCACACCACCGTACGTGGATTTGGTTCCATGAACTAATAAGTGGGCTCCAAAGCTATCTCGAAGAAGACAAACCAACCTCACTATATGCCTGGACACTGGTATCAGATTCACTGATTCACTTAAATCCATCAAAGCAGCATGATGGGCGGGGCCTCAGAATTGTATCCAATGTTTTAAAAAATAAAACTGAATGGTCAGGGTTTTGACCATTCAGTCCACATAGATGGTTCATTATAGTCTAAAAAATAAAAATAATCAAAATAAAAAGTATTTAAAAATTGTTGTTTAGGTCGAATGAATTGACGATTTGGCTTCCTGAGTTAATGGGTCATTGATAAAGTTAACGGTTTTTGACAAAAAACCGAATCAGAGGTGAAACAAAACCAATTGCTTGAACGGTTTCCAGGCCAAATGATCCATGCTTACACCTGGGGGACTTCTTAAGAGGGGGAATAATTCACAGAATAGAGATCCATACTTCAGCAAACAACAGAGCCAGTCATTCTTAGACTAAAGCCTGCATGACTTTGTTATCCCAAGCAAGGTTCAAAGTATTGACACGTACGGCCCGTATCAGCCAATACGTATCGTTCCAGAACCCCTCCAATACATCCCTACAATGGGTGTATCGGGAGTCTAACCAGTTCAGAAACAGTATTGAAATCGCCCGATATGCCCGAATGTATCGATATTTTGAACCTTGATCCCAAGATTTTATCTGCTCACCAAACAAAGGTAATTTACATTTTTTTTTTATAGGCCGATAGTTTTCCTCTTTACCACACTTATTATAGGGCTGCGACTGGGGTAGGCTCGGGTTGAACATTTCCGATAAATAGTTCTGCTTGAACCATTTTGTTTTCAACGCATCTCACCCAGGGTCCTAATAGACTGAGGCTCAAATAACCCATAATTTATTTTGAATGTTACATTCTTTGAACCCCACATAATTCTCCCCTTAAATATTTCTTGAATCGAGGCGAGCTAAGATTTTCTGTGTGGAACAAATTTTGAACATTAAAATTTCAATAGTTCAATCTTCCATCGTCTACGCGTAGTGATAAAATTGCAGAATGCAGAGTGCCGTTCGATCTTTTCCATACAAGGGTACCGGAAATGGTCTCAACAATAAACCAAAAAGGAAAAAAAGAAAAAGAAAAGTATTGGTTCTCAACAAAAATGACAAGGAGATTCATTGGATAGTTCAATATTAAGCTTCTCCAAACTTGATTGTCAAGGATTTAGATTTTAGAGACGATTAACTCTTTCACAATCACAAATAATGAAAATATATTAGAAAAACAATTAGATACCTGACCTAAAATTAAGGTCACGTTTGGTGTACTTTTTTGCAGAGGCTGTCGACTGTTTAGAAGCCCAACAATCTGTGATTTTTTTTTCCTGTTTTGTTGGGGGAAAATCTAACTGCCAAAAGACTCCACCCCAAAAAAACATAAGAAGTTCAATTCAAACTTATTTCAGGAAACTAGAAATGAAGCTTCTCACATTTTTTCCGTTTTGCTTTTGCGCAAAAAAACATGCCTTCAACCAAATGGTTCATGGGCTGCCAAGATCTTTATATAAAAGCCCACTACATCTTTAAACTGTCAAATCTTCGAAAAGATCTTTCAAAAAAGACTTATCAAACAGCTTCTAAGTACATAATCTAATGGAATCTGTACCAAAAAAAGCGACAGAAAATTTTCATTCTCAATCCTGTCATTTTCTTTTTATCAATATTATGAATCTTATATTAACTTTTTCCCCAACCGAAAGAAATAACTTCAAAAAAGAACTTTTCAGGATAAAGGAGAACTAGAATTTGACTTTTTTCTTACCCATTACAAGTTTGGCAGGAATCGCTTATGACGTAAATTTTAACCTGTCACAGAAGTTGACAGGAATCGCTTATCACTTTTTTCTTACCCATTAAATTCAGAAGCACAAATGACCTAAAGATAGAATCCTGTCACAGAAGTTGACTCTATAAATTGCAGAAAACTTTCCTAATTAATGTCCGAATAGCATACTCTTTGTCTTGTTACATTGGTAATTGAGTAACTTAATGACTTAGCTAATGACACCAAAATAAAGTGTAGTTCTCCTTGAATTTAGACCGCAAGTCAAGTGGTGATTTTTTTTGACAAATTAAGTGGTGATCCTGGGACAGCTTTCCATCTATTATGAATTGAGCCCCAAATAGCTCACAAAAACTTTGAATATTGACTCCTTTACGTCCTGCATCAATGTGCTATCCAGTAGCTTTATACTAATAAGGGTAAATAGAAGAAAGGAAGAAAGAAGAACCAAGGAAAGGAGAAACACAAGCAAGAAAGTTTATGGATAGGAAACGATAGAATCAGGATATTTTTCCCTTTATAGTGTTATTATTCATAAAGGAAAAAGAGCCTCTTTGTATCATTTCCTGTATATGCGCTACTTCATATATTAGGGTATCAGATAAATAAAGTACAACACTAATTGAACAAAATAACAGTGTTCCATGTATCTGTGCATAAACAAGGAAGGAGAGGATATAATTAGTGATCCCAACTGGTTTCAATGACTAGAGGCTTCTCTATATAGATCATGATGATATTTCTGCTCCAAAAAATAAAGAACCAATGTAGGTCCAGTGCACATAAAAAGATGCTAACACACCGATCTGTCTTAAATAAAGGGATAACCATCCGGGCTTGCTACTCTACTATCTGTGAGTCCTAAAGGATCAGATAGCTTATGAACTCTTAGTTTTCTGTCTTTTCTGACTACAAGCTTCCTCTTTATTTGATCTGCACACAAAATGGCCTAGCATTACTTCAACTTGTCTCAAACACTTTGAAACGGTAAAATGTTCTTTGAATGCAAAGATTACCAAAGATGATATACAAAAACTAGTTCTTGACTAACAAGTATTACATTGTTAGTAAAGAGTGCCTTTACCAGAAGATTTATATAAATAAGTGATAATGTAAATTGCACGACCCTCCTGGGATTTGACAGTTAACTCCACTATATTTTTTCGATACATATCACGCTATACTTTCACAAATGATCACATGATCCCCTTCAGTACCCTTCTACCAATGAATGATATATATGTGCCATGTGCACATCATGTGACAGAGTTCATCATTGTTTGTGTTTGGGCATGTGAAAAGGGGTATTTATTTATTTTTCTTCATTTTATATTGTGTAGTTACAGTCCTGTTTCCTGCTTAATGTTGCTGTCCCATACTTATTAGGGGCAAAATAGTCTTTTGGTTTGTAACCTAATAAATAGAGTTGGCCAGATGTGGGGGGGGGGGGGGGGGGTTTCAATTCTGTCTACCCTTCTTTTTATTCCTTCTCCCTTTCTGTTTTCTCAATTGTGGGAGTGGGAAACAACCTCTTCACAAAGTTGTCAAGGTGACACCTAGGCGACAAGGCACCCTTAGAGCTTCGTCCCACCTGATCGCCAAGTAGTTTTGCATATTGTGTTACAAAATACTTTTATCTTCTTCGTTTTTTGAGGTTATAATTATAAAATAGACATTACTAAACTAAAATGTTCATTTCGTGTGCTTATATACTTATTTCTTTTTTTTTATTTTCTTATTTTTAGGGTTTAATCAACAGAAACATTCTGCTTTGAACCCTCAAAGACTTCAAAACCTGAACCAAGAAGGAAGAACTTGAAATTTTGTCTAATCAACACATTTTCTTCTTCTTCTTCCACCTTTTCTTTTCTTCTTTTATTATAACAAGAGTAGGAGTTCAACCCCTATATTTTTTTTGAATTTTCTTTTCTTTCTTCTTTTTCTTCTCATGAATATGTTGATTTCTATACTTTAACATGAAACTTATACTTTTTTTATTAAGATTATGGATAATTATTAAGGAAATATGGTTATGGAACTTAGGGAACTATCTTAGGTGAAGACCATGGAGATATTCAAAAACTACTCCACGAATGAGATCCTAAGAAATTGGGTTGAAGTAGCACAAACAGATGTACCCAATGTACTTGTAAGTATGGAATGGAAGCCACTAGCACTGAACAAACTAAAACTGAACTTTGATTGGAGTTCTTTTGGCAACCCAAGAAGGGCAAGCATAGGGGGTGTGTTTAGAAATCATTAGGGTGTGGTGGTGGCACTCTACTCAGGACCAATAGGTTTTGGTGACTCAATATAGGTTGAATCTCTAGCCCTACTTCAAGGTCTAAAGATGGCAGAGCAGATAGGAACAACAAACTTAGAAATAGAAGGAGACTCACTATTGGCCATTTCTTGGGCCAAAAACATCACATCAGTACCTTGGAAGCTCAAATTTATCTTCAGAGAAATTGCCACACTTGCAAGGAAGTTCAACTCTCTGTTTGATTGGGTCAAATGGGATGTGAATGGGATGGTGGATACCCTAACAAAACAAGGGGCAAATAGATCTTCATTGTACTGGGAAGAATTGTAACTAATTGCTAGAGATTGCAGCTTAGATGAATGTCCCTCTACAATCTTTATCTATTGTAACTGAACTTCTCTGTTATTAATGAAAATTTTTTGCTGATTAAAAAAAACAACATTTAGATATCTCTTGTTCTTCAATCCTAAGTATGCCCTGATTTCTGTCCTATTATTATTAAACTTATGCTGCAGCATAATTTATTTTTGTCCCACTTCTAAATTTTATTTTTTAAGGTATTTGTCCATAACTCTAATTATACAATTCATCCTTAGAAGAAATAAAAAAAAAAGATGAATATTGAACAGGGAAGGGAAAACAAGAAAAAGAGAAGTTTGGGAGCCCAAAAGAAACTCATCCGGACAATATGTAAGAGAGATATAAAGACAAAAATACCCCCATGAGTACATGTATAACACATTAATCTAAAACATTCTTCCTACACTCCCCCTCGAACTTAGAGTAAATGTTGAACCAGGTAACCCCTTTGTGAGAACATCTGCTAATTGATCTTCAAATCACACAAAGGACAAACAAACTTCACCAAATACCACCTTCTCACATATGAAATGTTAATTGACTTCAATCTGTTTTGTCCATCACGTTGTAATGGATTGTGAGTAATGTTTAGGGCTGTGTGACTATCACAGTATAATCACACCACAAACTGCTCAAATGCAACTCCCAAATCTTTTAATAGAACCTTCAACCAGAGTAGTTTTGACACTCCAGGAACCATTGACCTATATTCTGCTTCAACGCTTAACCTAGCCACAACTAAATTCATCTTGTTTCCCCAAGAACCAAGATTGCCTCTGACAAATGTGCAATAGCCAAAAGTAGAATGCCTGTCATCTAGGATCCTGCCCAATCTACATCACTAAATGCTTTCAATTTCAAATGACTGATTTTTTTATCAGTATAAGTAGATTTTATTAATATCAACTTGAAGATTACATCGATGTGGGATTATTAATTTTGAATGACCATGGTTAGTAAATAAGACTCCTTTTCCTAGAGCTCCCTTGAGATACAATTAAGGATCCTCTCAACCACTTCAAGATGGGATACTCTAAGCTGATCCATATATTAGCTAATCACACTAATTACATATGAAATATTTAGTCATGTATGATGTACATAAATAAGTGCCCAACCAGCCTTTGATATTGCTCTTTATCCTTCAACAATGCACTATTGTTTGCACTTATCCTATTATTTTGATCAATAGGCATGGAAACTGGTTTGACCCCTGTTTTGCTAATATCCTTCAAAGGGTCTAACACATGCTTGCATTRKGAGGTGAAGGTACCCTTCTTCAAYTGACTAACTTCTATGCCCAAGAAATATTTGAGATGGCCAAGATCTTTAATTTCAAATTACATTTCCATGAACTTCTTCAACTTATCAATCTCGATTGGATTGTTGTCGGTGAGATTGGACAAAGACAAAATGTTACACTRCTCTTCCATGCTTATCAAACCAGRCCCTAGGCAACTACACCGATCCATAAATCAATTTTCTTAGTCAACAAACTTTACCCTAATTACCTGAATAACAGAATCTTGGAGGCAGTAACATATATATTTCTTCGTGTACATCCCCTTTTGGGTATTCAGTTTGGTTCTACTTGGCAACTCATGAGCAGACTCATGTTGGGGAAAGTTCGGGTTCGTCATTCTCTAGGCAAGATAAATTAATTTGATCCTACCATCCTCAAGTGCATATTTAGAAAACTATAGGCCCAATTACTGCATCTGTTTTCTAGATAGAAACAGCAGAGCAAAATTACGACAAAGAAAATGAATAATGTATTAATTAATTCAAAAAAGCAGGAAATAGAATTTTCACTTACAAGTTCAGAACCGGATAGGGAAAAAAGCCAGCTGACATCTTCACGCCGATTCTTTCCAAGAGCTTTATCTCGATCCCACAAAGACATATCACAGTTTTAGAAATTCTTATCAAAGTCTACAATCGAAAGTGTAGAAGAAGAGAACACAGAATGTAGTTGCCACGACTCAAAAGTCATTAACCAATCCTCTCCTCCATGAATGCCAACGTCTGAAGGGATTCCGTTGTATAGGGCTACCACGGGGACGGATCGTCTGCGTTTGAACACGAATGAATTTTCCTTCAAGCTCGCACCAAATAGCGACAAGTCAAAACTAGTTTAGTGGTTACCCGTCTCTTCCCCAACCCCCATATCACCACCAAT